AAAAGAATGAATGAATAAGAGGCTGTTTGTGTTCATAGTATGCCCTCTTATCCCCCGTGACACAACTATTTCCTTCCTGCTTGGTCTCTTGGAGCCTCTATCCCTTTAGTGATAAAGTTCTTTTGAAGAAATAAGGAAATCATGCATATGACACACCTCACACAAAGCCTGATGACGAGCAGGCGATAAAAATGCATCTGATCCCACCACCAACCCCTCATGGGAGACTCTTTCTTTTTCCAGCTACTTGGAGCTATAACTGACAAATAAAAATTGTATGTGTTTAAGAGGCACAACATGAAGATTTTATATACTTACACATAGTGAAATGATCATCAAAATCAAGCTAATTAACACTCCCACCACCTCACATAATTACCTTATTTTTGTGAGAACACTTAAGATTTACTCTCATAGCAAATTTCAGGCATAAAACACAGTAATGTTAACTATAGTCACCATGCTGTGCATGAGATCCCCACAACTTATTCATCTTATAACTGGAAGTTTGTACACTATGACCAACATCTCCCTATTTCCCCCATCCCCCTACCCTTGGTAACCACCATTCTACTCTCTGCTTCTGTGAGTTCGATTTTTTTAGATTCCACATACAAGTGACATCATACAGTATTTGCCTTTCTCTGTCTGACTTATTTCACTTAGCATAATGCCCTCCAGGTTCATCCATGTTGTCAAAAATGGCAGGATTATTTGTTCCAGTATCATGAGGGATTCTGACAAATTAAGTCTATAATCTAGTCCTCTAATCTATAACCACCAAGTTCACATTTTAAAAAAAAATGTGGTTTGTGGGAGAAATTTGCAGCCGTACTAGGAGACCTGTGTTCATTTCCTGACCCAGCTGTGAATAGACTAGAGTAACTCAGACAAACACTTCACCTCTCTGGCTCCCAATTTTCCCAGCCAACAGATGAAGGGGCCCTCGGAGGTCCCCTCTTGCCCTGAAATTCATCGCTGATGCAATGTTTTAAAAAAAATTCTTTGTCAGCTTCTGCAAGGCAAACGAAACCAGGATCAAAATGAAAAGACAACCCACCAGCTGGGAGTAAATATTTGCAAATCATATATCCAACAAGGGGTTAATCTCCATAATATATAAAGAACTCACACAACTGAACAACAAAAAAACAAATAACCCGATCAAAAAATGGGCAGAGGATATGAACAGATATTTTTCCAAGGAAGGTATACAGATGGCCAATAGGCACATGAAAGGATGTTCAGCATCACTAATCATCAGGGAAATGCAAATCAAAACAACGCTAAGATATCACCTTACACCCATTAGAATGGCTATAATTGCTAACACAAAAAATAACAAATGTTGGAGAGGATGTGGGGAAAAGGGAACTCTCATTCACTGCTGGTGGGAGTGCAAACTGGTGCAGCCTTTATGGAAAACAATATAGAGATTTCTCAAAAAATTAAGGATAGAACTACCATACGATCCAGCTATTCCACTGCTGGGTGTTTATCCAAAGAACTTGAAATCAACAATCCAAAGAGGCTTATGCACCCCTATGTTCATTGCAGTATTATTTACTATAGCCAAGATGTGGAAGCAACCCAAGTGTCCATCAACAGATGATTGGATAAAGAAGATGTGGTATATATATACAATGGAGTACTACTCAGCCATTAAAAAAAGACAAAATTGTACCATTTGCAGCAACATGGATGGACCTGGAGGGTATTATGTTAAGTGAAATAAGCCAGACAGAGAAAGACAAACACTGTATGACCTCTCTCATATGTGGAATATAAACTAACACACGGACAGAGAGAACAGTTTGGTGGTTACCAGGGGAGTTGGGGGGGGCACAAGGGGTGAAGGGGTGCATTTATACGGTGACTGACAAACAATAGTGTACAACTGGAATCTCACAATGTTATAAACTAGTATGACATCAAAAAAATAAAAATAAAAAATTCTTTGTCTCATAGCCCACTGCCTGTCCCTCAGCATTTCCCAGATGGACCCTAAGGACTCACCAAGACAGAAGAGGGCAGACAGGGTTGGGGACATGGTTCCTCAGCCTGTCCTGAGCTCTGTAGCCCAGGAGGGAAGCCGTGGGGGGCTGGAGCAGGGACACAGGATGTGATAAAGGCAAAGAACACTCTCTTCTCTTCCCCCATCAGCCCTGGCTTTTCCTAATTGAGACTCATCAAGCTGGAGCCGTCCCCTCAGTGGAATGACTTGCAAACAAGCTCCAAGGAGCCTCACTTATCGCCTGTTACCAGCCCAGTGTCACACCACATCTGCCTATTGAGGCATTGTCTGTGTTCCCATGTTCCCATAAGCTCCCTGACATTCATTAGGGACATGCAAATCAAAACCACAGTGAGGTATCACTTCACACCACTAGGATGGCTGACAGATAGCCAAGAAGACAGCTAATAACAAATGTGGAGGAGGATGTGGAGAAGTTGGAACCCTCGTGCGTTGCCGGTGGGAATGTGAAATGGTGCAGTCACTGTGGAAAACAGTTTGGCGGTTCCTCAAAACATTAAACATTGAAATGACATAAGATCCAGCAACTCCTCTTCTGGGTATATACACAAAAGAATTGAGAGCAGGAATTGGAACAGATATTTGAACACCCGTGTTCATAGTAGCATTATTCACAACAGCCAAAACATGGAAACAACTCAAATGTCCATTGATGGATGAATAAATAAACTGTGGTTTATACATCCAATGGAATATTGTTCAGCCTTAAAAAGTAATGAAATTCTAAAACACACTACAACTTGGATGAATCTTGAAGACATTATGCTAAGTGAAATAATCCAGACACAAAAGACCACATAGTGTATGATTCCACTTATATGAAATATCCAGAACAGGCAAATTCAGAGGGACAGAAAATAGATTAGAAGTTACAGGGTCTGCAGGGAGGGAGAATGGGGAATTATTGCATCATTTTACATTCTCACCAATAGTTAAATGCACAGACATTTTGATCAGTGTTTTGAATAAGGTGCTGAGATGGAACATTGTCTGGTGGATCTCCTTAATAGAATGGTTTCAGGGAAATTTTCTTTGGAATGGCGACGTTTGAGGTTAAGCCAGATAATAAGGAATATTTGGGGAGGAAGAGTGCCGTGATCAGTGTGCCCAAAAGCCTTGATGAAGTAAAGATTTTGGCATTTTCATGTAAGCAGGAAGCAATTAGTGTGGCTGGAATTGAGTGAGCATAAAGCTGAGACTGAAGAGATTATAGGGTCAGGTCAGGGTGTCCCAACCTCGGCACTATTGACATTAGGGACCAGGTAATTCTTTGTCTGAGTGGAGGAGGGCTGTCCTGTGCATTACAGGAGGTTAGCAGCATCCCTGGCCTCCATCCACTAGATGTCACCAGCACAACACGCCCTCCAGTTGTGACAACCAAAACTGTGTCTAGACATTGCCAGATGTCCTTTGGGGGGCAAAATCACCCCCAGTCGAGAACCACTGAGTTAGACCATTCAAGGATAAACTTGGGTGCACAAATGTCCTTATATTTTTACTCATTTTCATGCATTATCTCATTTGACCTTCACACAAGACTGAGAAACAGGTGCTGCTTTAGCCCCATTCTGATGAGAAAACTTGAGCTTAAAAGAAAGTGTCTTTCTCCAAACACTGTATGATCTCACTCATATGTGGAATATAAACCAACACATGGACAGAGAAAACTGTATTGTGGTTACCAGGGGCAGTGGGGGTGGGGGGTGGGCACAAGGGGTGAAGGGAGTCATATATATGGTGATGGACAAACAAAAATGTACAACCCAAAATTTCACAATGTTAAAAACCATTAAACATCAAG